GCTGAGAATGCATTCCCAGCTCGTGGCGCGAGCCAAGACACCTCACACAAGCCAAGACACTTTGAACCCAGGCTACACTCGCAAACAAAGCAACATTGCCTCATGTATTTTACAAGTTTACTTGAAAATGTATATATTACAATAACAATAATGTACAGTGTGTGTGATACGTAGGGTGGCCTGCCTCCGATCCATCCTGGGATTAACCAGGCCGGATTACAGTTCGAGGAGCTCTCAGATCCTTGAAATTCTGGACATTGTCAAGTTCCTCCGGCAGAGGAGGCTGCGTTGGCTGGGTTATGAAACCCGCAAGTCCAGCCACAGCACGGCCTAGCAGCCCATGTGTGTAGTGTCTGTGGTGTGTGTGTAGTGTGTGTGTGTAGTGTCTGTGGTGCTGTGTGTCTGTGGTGTGTTGTGTTGTGTAGTGTCTGTGGTGTGTGTGTAGTGTCTGTGGTGTAGTGTCTGTGGTGTGTGTGTGTGTAGTGTAGTGGTGGTGTGTGTGTAGGTGTGTGTAGTGTGTGTGTGTAGTTTGTGTGTGTAGTGTGTGTAGTGTCTGGCTGTGTGTGTAGTGTGTGTAGTGTGGTTGGTGGTGTGTGTGTGTAGTGTGGTGTATGTGTGTAGTGTCTGTGGGTGTGTGTGTGTCTGTGGTGTGTGTGTGTAGTGTATGTGGTGTGTGTGTAATGTGTGTGTGTAGTGTCTGTGGTGTGTGTGTGTAATGTGTGTGTGTAGTGTCTGTGGTGTGTGTGTAATGTGTGTGTGGGGTGTGTGTAGTGTGTGTGTAGTGTCTGTGGTGTGTGTGTAGTGTGTGTGTAGTGTGTGGGTGTGTGTAGTGTGTGTGGTGTGTTGTAGTGTGTGTGTGTAGTGTGTGTGTGTAGTGTGTGTGTAGTGTCTGTGGTGTGTGTAGTCTCTGTGGTGTGTGTAGTATCTGTGGTGTGTGTAGCGTCTGTGTGTGTGTCGTGTGTGTAGTGTGTGGTGTGTGTGTAGTGTGTGTGTTGTAGTGTCTGTGGTGTGTATGTAGTGTGTGTGTTTGTAGTGTCTGTGGTGTGTGTGTAGTGTGTGTGTGTAGTGTCTGTGGTGTGTGTGTAGTGTGTGTAGGTGCGTGTTTGTAGTGTCTGTGGTGTGTGTAGCTGTGTGGTGTAGTGTGTGTGTGTAGTGTCTGTGGTGTTTGTGTTAGTGTCTGTGGTGTGTGTAGTGTCTGTGGTGTGTGTGTAGTGTCTGTGGTGTGTGTGTAGTGTCTGTGGGAGTGTTGTAGTGTGTGTGTAGTGGGTATGTAGTGTCTGTGGTGTGTGTGTAGTGTCTGTGTAGTGTGTAGTGTGGTGTGTAGTGAGTGAGTGTGTGTAGTGTGTGTGTAGTGTCTGTGGTGTGTGTGTAGTGTCTGTGGTGTGTGTAGTGTGTGTGTGTGTGTGTAGTGTCTGTGGTGTGTGTGTAGTGTGTGTGTGTGTGACTGTGGTGTGTGTAGTGTGTGTGTAGTGTGTGTAGTGGTGTGTGTGTGGTGTGTGTGTGTGTAGTGTGTAGTGGTGTGTGTGTGTAGTGTGTGTGTGGTGTGTGTGTAGTGTGTGTGGTGTGTGGTGTGTGGTGTGTGTGGGTGTGTGTAGTGTGTGTGTTTGTAGTGTCTGTGGTGAGTGTGTAGTGTGTGTAGTGTCTGTGGTGTGGTGTAGTGTGTGTGGTGTGTGTGTAGTGTGTGTGGGTGTGTGTAGGTGTGTGTTTGTAGTGTCTGTGGTGTGTGTAGTGTGTGTGTAGTGTCTGTGGTGTTTGTGTAGTGTCTGTGGTGTGTGTGTAGTGTCTGTAGTGTGTGTAGTGTCTGTGGTGTGTGTGTAGTGTGTGTGTGTGTCTGTGGTGTGTGTGTAGTGTCTGTGGTGTGTGTAGTGTGTGTGTAGTGTCTGTGGTGTGTATGTAGTGTGTCTGTGTAGTGTATGCAGTGTGTGTGTGTTAGTGTATGTGTGTTGTGTGTATGTTGGGGTGGGAAGAGGGTGGAATGTGTGTGCATGTGTGGTGATAGCGGTGGTGATGCACATCTATCATCACCACCCCTGGCGCCTTCATGGCTACTCTGCGGTGGAAACTTCCACCACAAAGCAGCCAGTGGCAGAAGAAAGAGCAGATTGCTCGTCCCACACGAGCCAGTCCAAATCTCTTCTTCCGCTCTCTCCGTCTCCGTGTCAGCACCTCCATCTTCTCCTTCCCCCCCTCCTTCCCTTCCTCCTCCACATTCTCCTGCATGCTCTCCTCAACAACCTCCATCTTCTCTGCAGAGGCCGGGGTGAGCGAGGGCTGTGCGGGGCTCGATCTGTGAACGGATGGACATGACACCATTTAATTTCCCTCTTATTGCTCGTTCGTTATTACGCTACAAACATCGCAACTCCCGATCATCCGTGTGTGCATTTAAACTGCGCTTCGCAACATTCACAGCATCTTAAGACACAGGCTTTTCCTGGGTAATTAAGTAAAGTGGTAATAAATAATAATATAAATACACACACACACACAGGACACAACACGCAGAGCCTGCTTACCGTTGCACAGCGGTTTGTAGAGGTTGCGTGCCCTCCCTGTCGCACAGCGAGACCGGACCCTGGTCACTGCTGATGGTGGCAGTGGCAGGCGGTGGTGGTGGTAGGGACGACGGTGGTGGCGGCGGTGGTGGTGGTGGCGGTGGCGGTAGGGGACGACGGTGGTGGCGGTGGTGGCGGTGGCAGCAAACGAACAGTGGCCTGTGGACGGTCGGCGGCGGTGACGCGGCGGCGCGGCGGTGACGGTGGTGGCAAAGCGGTGGCGGTAGGGACGACTACGGTGGTGCAGCGGCGGCGGTAGGGACGATGGCGGTGGTGGCGGTGGTGGCGGCAGTGGCGGCAGGGACGATGGCGGTGGCGGCAGCGGTGGCGGTAGGGACGATGGTGGTGGCGGCGGTGGTGGCAGCGGTGGCGGTACGGGACGATGGTATGGTGGCGGCGGTGGCGGCGGCGGCGGGTGGCAGCAACGACAGTGGCTTTGACGGCGGCGGCGCGGTGACGGCGGCGGCGGCCGTGACGGCAGCGACTGCGGCGGCGGTGACGGCGGTGGCGGCAACTGACGGCAGCGACAGCGGTGGCGGTGACGGCGACGGCGTCGGCGGCGGTGCCGGCGGCGACGGCGGCGGCGGTGGCGGCGGCGGCGGCGGTGACGGCGGCGACAGCGGTGGCGGTTACTGTCGGCGGCGGTGGCGGTGGTGGGGGCGGCGGTGACGGCGGTGGCGATGGCGCGCGGTGGCAGCGACGGTGGCAGTGGTGGCGGCGGCGGTAGCGGCGGCGGCAGCGGCGGCAGCGCGGTGACGGCGGCGGGGGAGGCGGCGACGGTGGCAGTGGGGGCGGCAGCGGCGGGGACGGTGACGGCGGTGGCGGCGGGTGTGTAGGGACGACGGTGGTGGTGGCGGCGGCGGTGGTGGTGGCGCGGCGGTGGCGGTGGCGGCAGCAGCGACGGTGGCGGCGGTGGCGGCGGTGGTGGTGGCGGTGGCGGCAGCAACGACAGTGGCTGTGACGGCGGCGGCGATGGCGGCGGCGGGGACAGCGGGTGGCGGCGGTGGCAGGGGTGGTGGTGACGGCAGCTGCCCCGGAATGCCCGGGTTCAGCTGTGCCGACATCCCGCAGCCAGTGGTGTGCCAGTGCCTGCGCCGGTGTCATGCGACGAGACGCATTCCATCTGTTGGGACGGTACAGACACAAGCGGCACACACGACGAGCGATGACGATCGAAGGATTTACATTTGCCCTCCTCTCACTGGGTCCAAGAACTAATGGCAGCAGTGGTAGCAGTAATCCACTTTTGGCAACTGATTACCATAATCATCAACTAGCTGCTGATGTATAAACTGTGCTCCCCCACTTGCCACCCTGCTGCATATTAGCCGCTCGGTGCTCCTGCTCATTGTGAGCGTTGCTTCTCCGCCCTCCGTTGTTGCCGAGTAGCGAATTACCTCCAACCTGCCCAGTAGCCTAAAGTGCACCTTGCCTGGCACTGCTTGTGTCGTCTTTCACGAAACCGATCTTAACACCGCTGGTAAAAGTCATCGGCAAGTCCAACCAGCTCCACATCATCCAATGCCCACATGAGCTCATCTCTCCTGTGACATGACGCAGCAGTGACGTGGCCCAGGGTTGGCGCATTGTTTGCCACTTGTTGCAGAGGATCACGGTACGAATCCAGTGGCCGCCCTGGTTAATGCTGCGGGCGTTGTTAACCCTAAAAATACTCGCCATCTGCTTCATAGAGGATGTTAAAGATCCTATCATGTATTGTGCGAGAGTAGGCTGGCATCAAGGTCCACATTTGGCAAAGGAATGTACTGCTTGTAAGCAGGGCTGTCCCATAGGTGGGTGCAGCGCCAGGGGCCAATCACACCGTGTGGGCCCCCCGATGCCTTCGAGCGAAACCAGAAGTATTACATCTGACACCACCGTGACATCCAAGCGCGGTGTCCCCATAAGCGTTTGGGCCTGGGGAGGCCGCCCTGATTCGCCATACCCCAGGGACGGCTCTGCTTGTAAATTACTCATTTGGAATGTACGTAGAAGTCATCGCCCCCACTACGCAAACTTGGCAGGACCCTCCTGAAAAAAGTCGTGAGGCTTTCCTAGGTAAACGAGCGTCAATAAGATGCATAATTAACAACATCCTCAAGTTATCTCTATTTACATTGTTTACTGTTGCACAGAGCACTCGCCTAAGTTCTGCGGCAACGCAAACCACCTCGCATCACATTTTTTCCATTCCGGTGCCCTACTGCGGTCTAGCCAAGAGGGAAACACCAAGGGGATAGGGTTGTGGGCATTAGCAATGATTTGGCTTCGAAGAAGATGGGGGTCTAAGTCTCTCTATGTTAGTGTATGGATCAAGCCAGTCTATGCAATGATGGAGCTTCTAATTGTGCTTGAGAGGGATGGAGCTAGGGGACAGGAGGAGAGCGGTCGCTCATCAGTCGGAGCAGAGTGACCGATGCGGGAATCCTCGTGGGGGAGGGGCTCTTACTGGAGGCAGCAGCTGATGAAGTCCACAAACTCCGGGTCGTAGTTCGCGAGCAGCTTGCTGAGCGGGGCGACTCCCTGGCACTCGATGGCGGCCAAACATCTTTGGCTCCTTGGCGGATGCTGCAGGGAGCGCGCACACACACAGGAGACACGCGCACACACAGGAGACATGCGCACACACAGGAGACAACGGTCACACACAGGAGACACGCGCACACACAGGAGACACGCGCACACACAGGAGACACTGTCACACACAGGAGACACGGTCACACACAGGAGACACGCGCACACACAGGAGACACGGTCACAACCAACATCGGCCCTTGCACATCCCCAGCGCAGAAACAGTGCAATGCAGCAGCACTACGCCGTGGCCCAGCGGTTGCGATTTTGCCACCTGTTGCAGAAGTTTGTGGTTACCATCCGGCAGGCCGCCCTGGTTACACTGCAGGCTGCATTAACTATAACAAATTTGCACCGTTTATTTCACGGTGGATGTTACAGATTGCCTATGTGAAAATTTTTACTGCAAATTACTCCATTAGTGTTACACTGGAACACTAACATAATGACCCGCCAAATGTGAGTTATTCGAAATGCAGAACTCCGATAACCAATGTGAATCACAATGCAGTGTTTTGCATCATCTGGGATGGGTGTTGGTAAGACAAGGGAAACTATGTACGATTCATTGTTGATTTTTGGGTCAGACCACTTAATTACTGAGCCACATTTTTTGCTGTAAGACCCAATTGCCACGTGTACAAGATTTTCAGGCTGATTTCCTGGATCTCTCCTGATGCTTAATGGTGAAAGTCGGTTGTGAAAATCGACATTCAAGAATTTATCGGTGGTCGAGCTGAAACAATAACAGTTGGCTCGTAAAACGTATTCCAGTGAGCTTGTCCCTTCAACTTACCAAAGTATTTCTTTCTTTTAGGAGCGTTATTCACCAAGTAGTCCGGAGGCAGCCCCAGGACCTACACACGGTTCACACAACAACAAAGTTCCTTCATATAAACGCAACCGACTGTTGTAGCGAGTACTGTTAGTGAGCACCGATTAAGGCCGGCGCAGCACACTAGGGGATTGGCCCCATAGCGCCAAGTGCCAGGTGCTCATTTAACGCTTTCGGCCTGTGTCCAGTTCAGGTATTTGTTAAAATGTTGCCAGTAAGCAGAAATCCAACTCGGGTCACCAGGTTCGTAGCTCGATGCGCTAACCACTCCGCCACTACTCCCCACGGTTCACCCACAGGTGCAGGGTCGTGGTTGTGGCATGGCCCAGCAGTTGCACATCTGCCTCCCGTTGCAGAGTTTCCTGGTTCAGATTGGCCGCCCAATTTTTACTTGCGATGTGTACAAACCGTAAATTTGTACGTGCCGTCTGCTACATTCGCAGTAGACGTTGAAGATCCCATGACGTTATTCGAAAAGAGTAGGCCATTGTGTGCACACAGTTATGGTCCTGCATATGTGCTGGATGTAGCTTCAAGGGAAATGTATCTCATTACTAGACTTAATTTAGAGAATTGCTCTTCAACTTACTGGTGGTGGGTGAGCTTAAACTACAAGTGGCGCTTTGAGTGCTTGCACGGATGACCATTTCTTCTTATGGCTGCGTCAGCAGGCGGGTGGCAAAAATGTGGCCAGATCGTGACGTGGCCAAGAATGTTTTGTGAATCACGAGCGAAGTGCTGCTGTTGGGCAGTACCTCCATGCAGCACCCCAACTGGTCGTAGAAGTTGATGGGTTCGAAGATGGATTTTCCGGTTGCTATCTTCGCCACCGTGCATCCCAGAGCCCACATGTCGACCGAGTTGGTGGACGAGTAGCCCAAGATTCCCTCCGGAGACATGTGCTTGACGGTACTGAAGGTCAAGGAGGCTGTGATTCACAAAGACAAAGACCCCCAAATCACCTTTAACAGCATCATCACACGCAAGTCATCACCTCCACACAGTCACATGTACACACGTGTGTGCATACACACCAGATATTCATTTGAGACTGAGCATACACACACGTGTGTGCATACACACAGACACAAGTGTGACAAGCTTTTGGGACAAGTGCTATTAGCAAGCACTTATGAAGGCCGGCGCGATACACGAGGGGTGGGTGGCCAGCACCACGCCCTACCGCCTTGGCCTCCCCAGTGGTGATCTTTACACTTCGCACCAGGTATTCATTTGAGACTGAGTTGACTTAGGGGAGGCCCAGGAGCAGTTCAGATAATCGCCGGGTCCGTAGCACAGAGCGCTAACCGCTACGAGCAATCTCACTCCCTCACCCGGGTGAGGTCACTCACTTGGATAACCCTCAACGAAGCTGTGTCCAAAGTCGGCGACCTTTATGGTCCCTGCCACGCGGTCCTTGACCAAGATGTTTTCCTAGATGAAGAACAGAAGAAGGGATTCACAGAGGTGATAACAGCATTCAGCCAGCAGTCCATTGAGCATGTACCAAAATACGCAAGTATATATTAAAAAGGGAGTCAGACGAGGTGACTGTCAAAAAGGTTAGTCGCAGCGATATTAGGATATGTTTCCTGACAGCTGCCACTGGAAGTGAGATGATGCGATGTAAGTTGCTCATTGCGTGGAAAGAGAGACCCTAATGAAGCGTATAGCTGCTAGTGCATGCGAGTTAGGAAAAACCATGCACACACATGGATTCGGTAACACTTTCCACCACGCATTTGTCTTGGCAAGAATTTTGTGAGCAATTTGTAAGCTGATGAGTCGCCCTTGAAAACGAGCTTACCTCAATGCACTTTAATTGGGAAATTTACTTTTGATTCTGATTCTAAAATTTGTTTGTACATTTGAAAACAGTAATACCCCAGTTTATGTCGGGGATGCGTTCCTGAAAGGGGCGACGATTATCAAAACAACGTAAAAGGGGAAGACATAAATCAGGATATTACTGGAGTGCTTTTTTGTCCTGATTAGTATCTGAGTTTTTTTGTTTCTCTCAGGCAGGCCGCTCATAGCAACACAACTTTTGGCAAAGTCTACTTCACATTGGATGATCTTTACCAGTGTTACCGTGCCCCCCGCCCATCCCAAACAGGTGAACAAAGCGAATGCATTAAATACTCTTAGTTCTTTCGGTAAAGTCACGTAGGTAAAAAATGAAATTAAAATTAATAAAAATAAACAAGAATAAATTAATTTTAATTTCATTTTTTACCTACGTGACTTTACCAAAAGAACTAAGAGTATGAATCCTGATAATTGGTTCTTTACCCTTCTATCTGGCAACAAAACTGACACCTTTTACAAGGAGTCATGTTTGCATAGACCGCAATACCTGCAGTCATGAATACAAACAAAAGACATAACTCTGATAATGTGCACTGTCCTTGAAGTTGATTGGTCCACACCCGAGACAGCTTTCCTTAGAGCCTAGTCTCACATGGGTTGGACCAGAAGACACCAAAAGGCGCACAACTCAAAGACAATGCACCATCAGAGTATGAGAGCTCGGGGCAAACATCTACACTATGGGGACCTCATTTACCAGTAAAAATATGATAATTGGTTCTTTACCCTTCTATCTGGCAACAAAACTGACACCTTTTTACAAGGAGTCATGTTTGCATAGACCGCAATACCTGCAGTCATGAATACAAACAAAAGACATAACTCTGATAATGTGCACTGTCCTTGAAGTTGATTGGTCCACACCCGAGACAGCTTTCCTTAGAGCCTAGTCTCACATGGGTTGGACCAGAAGACACCAAAAGGCGCACAACTCAAAGACAATGCACCATCAGAGTATGAGAGCTCGGGGCAAACATCTACACTATGGGGACCTCATTTACCAGTAAAAATATGATAATTGGTTCTTTACCCTTCTATCTGGCAACAAAACTGACACCTTTTTACAAGGAGTCATGTTTGCATAGACCGCAATACCTGCAGTCATGAATACAAACAAAAGACATAACTCTGATAATGTGCACTGTCCTTGAAGTTGAATCCTTGCAGTCACGAAAGCTTCAAATCTAGAATGCATTAAAACCCGTTGCTCAATGTGGCTGGGGCTTTCTCCAGGGTTAGTCTCCAAAAACAACAAAGGTTTACAGTGAAGCTCTGTCCACTCACAGGCTTGAGGTCACCGTGAATGATTGTCTTCGAATGGATGTGACGCAGGGACGTGAGGATCGCCTTGGTGTATATTTTCACCATCTCCATCCGAAGGGACTTGGATTTCCTGTTACCAATCCAATCATCCAGAGTTCCACTGTGAAAGAGGCAACAATACAAAGTCAGTGTCATTCTGTGAGGTTCTGGTTCATATAACAATGGATTATTACGCTCGTTTACCCAGGACATCCTCAAGACTTTTTTCAAGAGGGTCCTACGAAGTTTTCGCAGCAGAGGGGGCGATGTTGCTTCTGTGTGTTATTCTAATTGGGTAATTTTTCGGTAGTTTTCAGTATTGGTATGCTTGACCAAGCACAGTCAAATTGGGAATTTATTAGAAACTATAAACTTTTTATTTTACCAGGTGAGGCCCACTGAGCTGTATAGCGCTTTTTCAGAAGCGATCTGTCCGCAAATGATACCTCAACAAAGTGGCTTATCATGGGGAAATTCAGAGCAGCCAAATACTCTAAACACTTGTTTTTAAATGTGGAGGGAAAAACCGGAGAACCCAGGTAAAAATCCACGTGACCATGGGGAGAACGTGCACACGCCAATATCGAGGCTCTGGATCGAACCCACAACTTCCTGTATGCCGAGCGAGGTCGTTAAAATTTTGCCACCAAAATGTTGAAGAAAGCCGAGAACCCACAGGAAACCCATGCAGAACAGGGAGAGAATATACACATTTCACACTCACCTCCTCCCTCCCTTACACACGTACTAACTCACTCAACACACACAATCATGAACACTCGGTACAGCAGTGGAAGAAACATACAAACTGCACGCCTATAGGCGCATCGGTTGGCAGTCAGCCCCTCGGCCTTGTTGCTGTGAGACGCAGGTGTTACCACTGCGCTGCCATCCTGCTGATTGAGGGGGCATGCTATGTCAAATTTGGCGGGGCTGTCGGAGAAAAGCGAATGGCTGCCAGCTCAACATGTGTCCCAGTTGAGCCTCCAAGACTCATGGCAGCTCCACAATTTTACGACGACAAATGGTCGCAAGAGCACATCAATGCAAGTGACACTTGGCACGCACCTCAACAGCTCCAAGACGATGGTGTAGTGCTTCCTGAACTGGAACCAATCCAGCATCTTGATGATGTTGGAGTCGTCGGTGTCACTCTCCTGAAGTATGATCCCGATTTGTATTTCCCTCAACTGGAAATTGTTATTCATGGCGCTGCAAAGAGAGTCAACAATTTAATATCATCAATCATAATTTAGACTTATAATACCATGCACACTTTTGGCTCACTCTCAAGAGAGAGAACTATTGAGATGCATGAGGATCCACATACAAGTGGGAAGGCAGCCAGGGAGTGAACCGGTGCCAACAATTTCCCAAGCTCTGAAATCCTTTTTACGTAAAGATGTTTTGGCCAATTAATATTCATAGTCACAACTAGAGCCGGCTAGAGCCCTGACTGAATATGGCTCTCGTAGCACAAGGCGATTGTGGAGAGAGGTGCTGTGTTTCACAGACACAGTATGCAGTAGTGTGGAGTCTTACCTCAATGGAGTTCTGAGTATTTTCACCGCCACCAGGGTGTTTGTCATGTGGTCAAGACACTCGACCACTATGCCTTGACCGCCCTCCCCAATCGTCTTCAGCACCTCATACCGAAAGTTGAGGTGCTCGTGTTTTACCTGCGCAACAATCACACAGTGGTTAAGTGCCGATTCAATCGAGTCTCATTCAATCACTGCTAATTGAGTGCTCGTAAGACAACATGAAGAGATCTTGACTTAAAGCTTTCGTGACTGCAGGAATTCATATTCTTTGGCTCTTTATTTTATTGTTCTATCTACGAGACTTTACCTAAAGACCCAAAGAATATGAACATAAAGAGACTTAATCCATGGGAGTGAGAGAGAGCACCAGCTATAGAATTAGCCTCGCTTTGTCAGTCCTATTTGAAGGGTAAAAACAAGACTCGGTAGGCTTGTCTGCTGTGCTAGATAACCTTGTTGCACACACTTGTGGAAAACAGCAAGAAGGGCCTGGGGGTTAAATTCCCAGCTTAGTCCCTTTTGTGTGGAGATGGTATGTTCTACCCCTCCTTAGCAAATTAGGAGTGTGTAGAGTTTGTATGCTGCTTCCCCTGTTCTGCATGACTTTCCTCCTGGTTCTCTGGTGTCCGCCCATAGCTAATACACACTCACAATGTAACTGGTGATGACCAAACATCCCAATGCTGAAAACTTACCTCCAAATTGCTCAATTGGTATTACACACGGCAACCACGCTGAACGCTGCGAGAAATTGTCAGAACCGTCCTGAAAAAGTCATGGCAATGCTACTATCTGAATCAAAGTGTTATTTCACGAGTAAAGCCCATTAGCAATCTTTGTAAGAACGTAATCAACCAGGTAATGTGTTAACTGCTGTGTTAGCCAATTCTCTGTGTTGCACTGCATTACATTTCTAATTTTACTAGGTTTGTTTTCTCAAACTTATAATTTATTCTATTATTTCTTTTATTTTATATCTACGTGACTTTACCGAAAGAACCAAAGAGTAATTCCTGCAGTAGAGGCCGACCGAAACTGAATTTCTGGTTTCGGCTGAAACAGAAACCAGACCGAGAGTAAAAAATTTACTTTCGACCGAAACCGAAACAGAAAGGTATATAACCGAAAGTTACCGAACACAAGATTTATGAAATACTGTACTAGCTTTACTACCCGGCTTCGCCCGGGACTTGGATTCACCACGGCCGGCCGCCTTTGTCTCCCTAGTGGCGATGTTACATACCACACCACTTACTCATTTGAGGCTGAGTCGACCTAGGGGAGGCCCAGGACCGGTTCAAATAATCGTCACCGGCCGTGAGCGGGAATTGAACTCGGGCCGCCGGGTTCGTAGCGCAGCGCGCGAATCGCTACGCAGTCGATGCCCCAACCCACACACACACAGACTAAAGACAAGGATCCCGACTGACCGGCTGATAGACTTATCACTAGCGTTATATTCTAAAAATAGATCTTTAGTTGACGACCGAAAGTCAATATCAGTTTTGGCCGAAACCGAAACCAGACAGAAAGTTAAAAATTTACTTTCGGCCGAAACCGAAAGTATGCCTAAAGTGGCCAATTGCCAACTTTCGGCGCCGAAAACCGAAACCGAATTTCGGTCGCCCTCTATCTTGCAGTCACAAAAGCTTCAAAATCAAGTTTAAAGCCCATTGAGTGAAGAAACTGTTTTCAAGGGCGACTTGGCCCGGCAGACAACATGAAATACCGACTGCATGTATGCAGGTTTTTTTTTCAGCATTGAGATTTTTGGATACCAGTTATATCGTGCGTGACAACACCGTGTGTGATGACATTGTGGATGATGATGGTGTGCACGATAACGCTTCTTTCAATGATCCTGTGATGTAAACACTGTGGTTGATTATGTTGAATGTGATGACGACGATAATGACACCCGAAGTAATAACCAGGGTGGCCTGCCGCATCCGGCAAGGCAGGTATTTTGTCGTGAGTCTTACCGGAATATAACGGTGTTGGTCGTCATCGTAGCCATGGTTGTACTTGCCCCGGGCCTGATTTTGGAGCCCAAGGTACCATATCTCCTGCATGGCCAAGAGTTCTCTTTGCTCCCTGAGGGTCAGGTAGCTGCCGTAGAGCTGCATGATTTCTGCAGAAATGATAAAAATGTATAAACCATTATTACTACCTTTGTTTCCTATGTGAGATTTATATCACGCCTTATTACAAGGTGCATTACAGCAATTATAACATTGCACATAAGATGATGGTAGTTGAGATAAAGAGTGGGGTTATTAAAAGTGGTGGTGTCGTTATGGTGACAGAACAGGAGGGAAAGGTAAAGGAGGGGTTTTGCGTAGGCCTGGTCTTAGTTGGGTATCAGGGTTGGGGAGGAGCAGTAGGGGTGGTGATAGGGGTTGAGCTAGGCCTGGTCGTAGCTGGGGGTGAGGGCAGGGAGTAGCAGAAGTGTGGGCAAGGGAGAAGAGGAGATGGGTTTTAAGGGAGGAACAGAAGCAGATTCACCAAGGACAGCCTTGCTGAGTCTCAATAATCTTTTTAAAGAGGTTATTGCCGAATTATTACAATAGGGGGTAATGGTGTAATCCCAACTGGATAATGTCAGACAATTGTTTAGTCTTGGGATGTTTGACTCCTAACAGTTTTTTCACGCGAGAAAAGTGGATACCCTTGAGGAAACCCATGCAGAACAGGTGGAGGACATACAGACTCCACAAGCAAAAGCACCTGAGTCGGGAATCAAAGCCAGGATATTCTTACTGTGAGACACAAATGTTACCAGCCTGCCGCCCAAAGTTTAGACGCCATATGAATGTGCACGTTGGGCCAAAGGGAAGAAGATAATTATTTTGTCGTAAGTCTGGCAGACATCGAAGGAGAAAACAGACTAAAGTAAATATGGGAGTTGCAGTAAAATGGTAACTCACTTCTATAAGAATGGTTGCTAGGTATTACATCATCAATTCCATTGCACAAGCCAATCAGCTGAAAGCAAAATCAAGTGCCCATGCAACTTGGCCGCCTTGATGTCCCCCATGCGACATGGCTGATGTGATGTCCTCCATTATTTTTATTACCTTGCGGGGTTTTGCACTTGATGGGGGCTGCTCCTTTTGAGTCTGAGAGCGCACTCCATCTCACGCATTTTCTTTTCTCACTATATATCGGCTCATCTACACACACAGACAAAATTCCACAATATAGACTGTAACAAACTGTTGGGGCAAATGCAGCCACAAATCTGGCTGTTGCTTGATGAAGCTAGTTGTAATTACTGGCGAAACGTCATACTCGGATTGTAAATGTTGTGGCTTTGCTCTCCAACACACCAGTGTGCTGTACTAGTAACGAATTGGCATGTTCTGTTTATGTGACAAACCTTACTAATTGGCTGTCTGGTGGTGGCGGATTAACGACACATATTTATGCGATCTAACTAAAAAAACCTGTTATGGATATTGGGGGCCATCCATAAATGACATCACGCGATTTTGGACGATTTTTTACCCCCCCCCCCCCCTCATCACACGGCGTCACAAAAAGTCAGACCCCCCCCCCTCAAATATGACGTCACAAAGCTCTGCCCCCCCCTAAAATAAAACATGCTTCATATCGCTTTGAACTATTGTAGTGCGTATTTAATGTGGCGCTACACTCTGATGTTGTAGGAGAAAACATTTATTAAAAAGTCTGTTTAATTAAGTAGAACGTGTTGTTTATATTTATTTAAAGTTGCGCATTTTGATGTGACGTCACATTTCTCATACCCCCCCCCCCCCTCGTCACACATCGTCACAAATGTCTGACACCCCCCCCCCCCCCCAGGTGCGTGACGTCATTTATGGACGGCCCCTTGGTCACAAAAGGCTACGTGTTAAACGCTCAGATACACAGGCAGGCAGGCAGACACACACCAAGGTAGAAATGGTGAGGAGTAGGTACGCGGATAGAGAGTGGAGAACACAGGCATGTGAATCACATGTTCGCCCATACTTCACCACGCGAGTCGAGCCCGTACCTCCATGTTGGTGACGTGTAGAGCAGGAATACCGGAGTGTCTTGCGTCTCGCACCGTCTGGGTCTCCGTGAGGAAAGCGGGAGACGAGTGTAGTAGGGTCAAGCACAGTCTAGGATGTGGGACGAGATCGTTACTCACCATGTGATTTACATCTCGAAATCGTGAACAGTTTTTTTAATCAATTGGGATTGCACATCGCCCTCAGCTGGCAGACTAATGGCCACTTGCAGGCCGACTGCTGAGCCACCTTGTTCCCTAGAGAGATAGCTGCCACTGGAGGTGGGATGAGGGGTGAGTGGGATGAGTGAGGGGTGCGGCAGTGCAGCAAAATCCTTAATTGTACCGCACTTCTATGTTCCCCCCGTCTCTGTCCCCTGACTTAACCACAGCCCCAACACGTACGCACATCGTCAACACGGAGATACATCATCAACACGAACTCGCATAACACAAACCCACATCGAACAGACCCACATAATCAACACACATCAACACAGACCCACACCATCAGTACAAACCGAGACGATCAACACGGACTAACATCATCACCACAGACCCACATCATCAACACGGACTCGCATCAACACAGACCCACACCATCAGTATAAACCGACATGAACACAGACTCGCATTATTATCACCAACTCATATCAACACAGACCCACATCATCAACACGAATCCACATCATTAAACAGACCCAAATAATCACCACAGACCCACATCATCAGCACGGACTCGCATCAACACAGAGCCACACCATCGGTACAAACCGAGATCGTGACTCACATCGTGAGCACATCAAGCTGCCGCGTGTAACACGTCGAGCTCGTCACAACTCTGCCGCTCTCACCTGTTCAGAGTGTCGCTCGGAGTGGCTCCAGCTGCTGCCTTCGGTCTCCGTCGTCTCCACGCGTCTCTCCAACTCTGAGCGCACGAGCCACGAAACCGGATGTCGGTCTGATGCGTCACAGTGACGTCACAGTCCGAGATTCCGATTGGTTCCCGCCCCCTTTCGCGACTTCCGGTAACGCGTGGTCACGTAACGTCACGCACGGCCCCGTGACGTCACGCGCGGCCCCGTGACGTCACGCGCGGCCCGCGTTCACCGTCGCTATGGGGGCCGATTGTATGAACCGGTCCTGGGCCTCCCCTAGGTCGACTCGGCCTCAAATGAGTACCTGGTGCGGTGTGTAGTAAACATCGCCGCTGGGGAGACAAAGGCGGCTTGGTGTGGCACTGGGCACCCACCCCCTCGTGTGCCGTGCCGGCCTTTCTAGGCGCTCCCTAGCAGCACTTGCCCCTGCAGTCTGATCAGGCGATAGAGGGGATCGTTGTGTCTGTCTCTATGTGTCTGTGTGTGTGTCTCTGTGTGTGTGTCTCTACGTGTCTTGAGTGTGTCTCTGTGTGTGTCTACGTGTCTGTCTCTGTGTCTTGAGTGTGTCTTGAGTCTGTGCGTCTCTGTGTGTATCTGTGAGTGCCTCTACTTGTGTATGTGTGTGTGAGTCTGAGTGTGTCTCTGTGTGTGTCTGAGTCTGTGTCTCTGTGTGTCTCTGTGTGTCTGAGTCTGTGAGTGTGTCTGTGTCTCTGAGTGTGTCTGAGTGTGTCTCTGTGTGTGTGTCTCTGAGTGTGTCTGAGTGTGTCCTCTGTGTGTCTGAGTCTGTGTCTCTGTGTGTCTCTGTGTGTCTGAGTCTGTGAGTGTGTCTCTGAGTGTGTCTGAGTGTGTCTCTGTGTGTCTGAGGTGTCTCTGTGTGTGTCTGTGAGTGTGTCTGAGTGTGTCTCTGTGTGTCTGAGTGTGTCTCTGTGTGTGTCTGTGAGTGTGTCTGAGGCGTTGCGACTTTCTCGATATTCCGCTCTGGTTTTTGTGTCTTCGTGTGTCTCGTTTTGGTGAGCGGCGATGCTGTGAGCGTGTAACGACCAACTTGCAGTGCCTGTACAAAGCGACGTCTAGGTCTACTCAGCCACAAATGTACCATATTGTCAAAATGTATCCCATTAAATAATACCGTATAGTGTGAAATCGTTCATGTTGAAAGTGTATTCCTAACATTAGCATACCTTTGTATTAAGTTCATATATCGTTTAGACATCGGCTTTAATTGTACACGACTGAATATGAATGTATTTATAAACATATTCTTAGGTTTTTTCGGTAAAGTCACGTAGGTAAACATTAAAATTAATAAAAATAAAATAAAAATCACGACGTTTCGGAGGCAATTATTTTCAAGTAAATGTAGCTGTGACGGTCCCACCTGATGACGGAGACTTGTGTTGCCTCCGAAACGTGATTTTTATTTATTTTACTTTTATTAATTTAATGTTCTACCTACGTGCCTTTACCGAAAAAACCTAAGCATATGAATCCTTGCAGTCACGAAAGCTTCAAATCTAGAATTATTTATAAACAATTAACTTTAATGAAACATTAAGAAAGGGTGGGTTATAGAAGCCTCCCGCGCCACTCCACTGCTGGATGAGCGCCTCCCCACGGAGCCCTGAACCCAGCGGGAGACGTGGGGTCCCCTCCACGCTCGCCGCTTCCTGCGCCAGACCGCGCCGACCAGCGTGGTGAAGTATGGTCAAGTGGGGGGCCCTCAGTTGAGTTCGCATAGAGGGGGGGGGGTGACTCAAACGCGTTCGCTTGCCTATGGGGGGGGGTCTACTGGCAATGTACACATAGGAAACATCTGGGGAAGCCTCGATAAACAATGTGTCTACATTGGCCTTAAGATGAGTGAGATAGTCTTATTCTTAGGTTTTTTCGGTAAAGTCACGTAGGTAAAACATCAAAATTAATAAAAATAAATAATAAAAAATAATTTTTTTATTAATTTTGATGTTTTACCTACGTGACCTTTACCGAAAAAAACCTAAGAATATGAATCCTTGCAGTCACGAAAGCTTCAAGTCTAGAATGAGATAGTCTTGTTTGCTTAAACACGTTAATAGCGTTAATCCTTGGGGGGTGGGGGGTAAAGAGTCGGCGTGCGGACAGGGAGAGGGGTCACGTCTTGACTGATTGTCGCCTCAATCTTGATGTGAAGATTGTCGCCTCCCTGCTCAGTGGGTGCCCCGCAGCCCACACCGCCCCCAGGGCCTCACGGCCTGGGGGGAACCGCTGGAGCTCCTAAATTGACAAAAACTTTTGAGACCCGCTGCTGCTGCTGAAGCTGCTTGTTGTTGTTGTTGTTCCGCTTGTTGTCCTTCCCGCACCTCTCATGGGCGAGGTTGGCTCCGTGCGGTGCGATAGAAGTTCTACCTGCACACACGATGGCGGTGATGATGATGATGTTGAGGAGGTACCTGCATGATGGTGAGAATGTTGATGCGGCCGCCTGGAACGCTCTTCAGATAGGAAGCCACCGGCGCTGGGCACTTTTAAATCATGGAGATGAACAAAGACTCGTTTCTTTAGAACCGCCTTCTTGTGTTTAGTTTGTTTGTCCTTCCCCCGCACCTCCGATTAGCACGGTTGGCTACGTACGGTGCGAAAGAAGTTCAGCATCGGGTACCGACACACGTCCTTCTTACTAAGTCCACCACCTCGTTGTTGACTCGGCCGGCAGCACTCGTGAGTCGTGAGAGTGGCGCGTTCTCGACTCGAATCGGACGAGAGCCGGGAAATCCTCAAGTCTCGAGACTGCAGCAGCAGCAGAGTCCTGCTACTACATACACACGTGTGTGTGTGTAGTAGCAGGACTCTGCTGCACATCCACACGTGTGTGTGTGTAGCAGCAGGACTGTGTGTGTATGTGCAGCAGAGTCCTGCTACTACATACACACGTGTGTGTGTAGCAGCAGGACTCTGTGTGTGTGTAGCAGCAGAGTCCTGCTGCTACACACACACACGTGTGTGTAGCAGCAGGACTCTGTGTGTGTGTGTGAGTGCAGCAAAGTCCTGCTGCTGCTGCACTCCGGTGCCTGGCCGATGGCCACGGGGGAGCGTTTCGCGGCTGTGCCGAGTGAGGGGGGTGAGTGCAGCGAGTGTCGCGGCCACGTGTGTAGTGGCGGAGCGTCACGTGTGTCATGGCTGGTGGCGAGTGGCTTGCCCGTGTTGTGGAGTTTGGAGAGGCACACACACACAGCGGTGTACGTCAAACACGGACATTTACTCTGTTAAAATCA